TTTGGTATTTTTGAGACAGGGTCTCCCTGTAGTCCCAGCTGGCCTGGAACTCACTATGCAGACCAGGCTAGCCTCGAACTCACAGAGATCCACCTGCCTCTGCCTCCTGAGTGCTGGGATTAAAGGCATGTGCCACCATACTTGGCCTTAATTGAGGATTTTAAGTGGACCAAATGAAGCAAAAGAACTGCTTTTGCTAACTCTAGAGGGTTTCCTTCTGCAACTAAAAATGTAATTAAATGAAACAAGTTTAAAAATCGTATCAAGCCGGGCATGGTGGTGCACGCCTTTAATCCCAGCACTCAGGAGGCAGAGGCAGGTGGATCTCTGTGAGTTCGAGGCTAGCCTGGTCTGCATAGTGAGTTCCAGGCCCGCTGGGACTACAGGGAGACCCTGTATCAAAAAGACCAAAAAAAATCATATTAATAAGTGGTGGTGGAGATGTTTTATTTAATGCTGCAATTCTAATCCAGAATTAATTAGCTTCTAAAACAAAATACTTAAATTTGGGCATGGTGGTACATGCCTGTACCTAGCAATTGGAAAGTGGTGATAGGAGGATCAGAAGTTCAAGACCAGTCTCAGCTACATGGTGAGTTCAAGGCTAGCCAGAGCCATATGAGATCCTGCCTCAAAAAACTAAAAGCAATATAAAAATACATGGGAACCTGAGAACTCAGCTGCATCTTGATAGAATAAATACGGACTAGATAGGTATCTGTAACTTATAAGTTTCTGTAGAAAGTCTACCCCTGCTTTGAACAGATGACAGCAGAGTTCCTGTATGAGCATACCAGGTAAACTTAGAGAGAGGCAGGTTGGTGTTTGCTTTCTCCTGCTCGAAGCAGGCTCTTTATAGTTGACTTCAATTGATCTGCAAAAACATGTCTATCTCCCCATTAGTACTGACACAGAGACAAGATGAACTAAGAAACAGCAACTTTAGATGGTCTGAAACAGCATTAAGTCATTTCTCCTACACCATAGCAATGGTACAGAACATTCACGTGTCGCTTCATGGGGTCCACAATGAAGTATGAGAAAGTCTGCTCGTGTTCCTTAGGTGAAGGGTAGCACAGGCCAGCAGAGTCCTGGAAAAGATTGGCCTGAAATTTAGTATTAACAATATTTTAGTCTTTGACTATTAAACATTTTCTACCCAAATGTCATGAAACATAGCCAG